AGATAGATAGATAGATAGATAGATAGATAGGTAGGTAGATAGATAGATAGATAGATAGATAGATAGATAGATAGATAGATAGATAGATAGATAGATAGATAGATAGATAGATAGATAGATAGATAGATAGATAGATAGATAGATAGATAGATAGATAGATAGATAGATAGATAGATAGATAGATAGATAGATAGATAGATAGATAGATAGATAGATAGATAGATAGATAGATAGATAGATAGATAGATAGATAGATAGATAGATAGATAGATAGATAGATCTAGATCATAGATAGATAGATCTAGATAGATAGATAGATAGATTAGATAGATAGATAGATAGATAGATAGATAGATCTAGATACATAGATAGATAGATCTAGATACATAGATAGATAGATCTAGAATAGAAGATAGATAGATAGATAGATAGATAGATAGATAGATAGATAGATAGATAATAGATAGATAGATAGATAGATAGATAGATAGCTAGATAGATTAGATAGATAGATAGATAGATAGATAGATATAGTTCTTGTACCGGTAAATCTATTAAAGAGCAATAGATTGTTTCTTAGTTAGTTAGTTAGTAATTAGTTAGTTAGTTAGTTAGTAGTAGTTAGTTATTTAGTTAGTTAGTAGTTAGTTAGTTAGTTAGTTAGTAGTTAGTTAGTTAGTTAGTTAGTTAGTTAGTTAGTTAGTTAGTTAGTTAGTTAGTTAGTTAGTTAGTAGTAGTTAGTTAGTTAGTTAGTTAGTTAGTTAGTAGTTAGTTAGTTAGTTAGTTAGTTAGTTAGTTAGTTAGTTAGTTAGTTAGTTAGTTAGTTAGTTAGTTAGTTAGTTAGTTAGTTAGTTAGTTAGTTAGTTAGTTAGTTAGTTAGTTAGTTAGTTAGTTAGTTAGTTAGTTAGTAGTTAGTTAGTTAGTTAGTTAGTTAGTTAGTTAGTTAGTTAGTTAGTTAGTTAGTTAGTTAGTTAGTTAGTTAGTTGGCTGGTTAGTGAAAGTGTTAAATCAAATCCGAAACAATATGCCTTCATCGACCCTGTTGTTCGCTTCTTTACCTGCGGGAATCAAACCTACAATAGAACACTATCTACTATCCTCTCGGAAGCTTATCAGTAGACTAAGTACATATATCTGTCAAAAGACAAATCCACAGTCCAATCAAAAGGGTATTACATAGCCTTTTAACGAGTCCATATATCATATGTCGATATCGATACACTAGTCTATAGCACATAGACTAGTCGTTGAACTAATTCATATACTAGTTAATAACCTTCACCAAAGGCTAGTTCACATTTAATCCATCTAGCTTCTCCCGTTTGGGTTCATGTTTTCAATAGATGTACGGACATAGTTATATCGTCTTAGAATGTAATAGGCTAAATATTTATTTCTTTTCCATAAGACTAGAGACCGTTTCTATGGTTTGTTTTTAACTTGTTTACAAGTAAAATGAATTATTTCAAAATTTAAACAAATAATTCAAAATTATAAACTTTTCTTTTGTGTTCTGTCTTTAAATTACCTCGTTAGTTCATGTACTTGTGCAATTGTATTTAAGTATTCACCGTTTTAATTCATTTTTACAAGTGCTTTTAAAAATATATACAAAATTCAACTTATGCACATCCACACATATTTCTTTATGTACATACAGTCATAATAAACTCACATACATATGTACATACATACTTCATTTGTATCTTCGTATATCGTATCTTTGTGTAGCGTATTTATGTCAGTTTAAAAGGAGTGTTTTGGCAATTATGAATACATATTGTTTATTATAACTTTAATAATAATATTAACCGGGTAAAAATGCCCATAAAATTATTAATAATTGTCTTTGCGAGACCTACATATACTTTACAATTTTAGTACAGGTCTTCTATTCAATATCACGTTCATTATATACATAGCATTGAATGGAAAGTTCTCTTAGGTGAAATAGTAGAGTTTTACATGACAGGGGGGTCAACTAAGGATATTGTAAAACATACGCATTTAAATAGCGTTAGAACTTAGACTTATAATTGCAAAATCAATCTTAAACAAGATATCGTTATTCTTAACCAAAAATACATATGTACATATATTTTTTAGGATATCTGACAAAATGATAGTTTGATATCTAACGGAATAACTAGATCATTGCCCAGATAAAAATATAATTTTTACTCAAAATCAAATCGATATAAAAATCTCGTTTTAAAAAAAATAAGACTTTTTATCATAAAGAGATTGTTATCGATTGTTTCTAAAAATTGAGTTTTTAATAAAACTTCGTATCATTTTGAGCATAATATACAGAAAAAGGATAAGATTATAGATAATGTAATCATCATACATTACATTACTTGTCATAAAAAGCTAAAATTATTCTATAAATTATTACTTTACACACGACATTTTTACCCGGTCGCTTGTAAATATTTCGCAAATTGCAAGTGTATATAAAAAAAGTACGTGTATGAATCATAAATATTTTTTTCATATGTTCATTTTATTTCTTTTATATTTTTTCTTTCTTTCGTTTCATTTTTTGCTAAATCCAACTTTGTATGTGGTGAATCACGTTTATTTTGCCGGTATGTTTGGTAAGTCACAGACACCCATCACCTCTACTACCAGTGACGGTAATGACGATATCTTGTCTTCTTAAGTCTTAAGTTGTTTGTCTGGTATTCATGGTGGTGGGCTAGCTAGCTAGAGTAAGCTAGTATGTTATTTTCTATTTTATTTTTTTCCTGTGGATTGTTTGTCTTGCACTCGTTGAAGGCGAGGGTGTGGCATTTACCGTTTTTAACCGGCATCTATTTAAAGAAATAATATGAAAAAATATTTTACTACGTCCAAAACAAATGTTGTTTTTAGTAGCGCTCATTACGTGCCTCTTGTTGTTTATAAATATTTTGTAATTTGTTGGATGCCCACAAACCATTAGCGGTTACAAAATTTTAAAAATTAGTAGGAGTTTTTCATATACTAAGTAGAAGTATTTTTTTACAATAATGAATGAATTTAAGTTTACTATAAAGACTCTATGGTTTTTAAATAGTTTTGAATAATTTATAGCCATACATATTAAGCTTGTTCTTGAATAATTATTAAAAACTTATTAGAATTTTATACAAGTATCATGTTCGCATTAATCTTTAAGTTTAATATTGATAGAAAAACGTATTTTTACTTCAAATGATTTGTTTCGTGTTTCGCATAACAGCTGGTTAACCTACGTTTAACCTATTACTAAGGAACTAGCCCTTAATTGAATTAAAACAACAAATAAAGTGACTGATAAATTCAGCTATGCCGAACCGTAAATATCCTTCATAATAGTTTAGGTGTCTCTGGTTACTTTCCATTTAAAAAAAAAAACTATGTTATCGAACATGATCGAAGTATGTGTGGAACTTAAGAGGTCCGCAATAACAACTAGGGTTCTATAAATCGACTTTCGAATAATCGAACAATCGACATTTTGTCGAAAAAAGTCGAAAAGTCAAAGTCGACTATTTTGTTCCAAAAAAGTCGATAACTCGACTATCGTCTATGAAAAAAGTCGAAAAGTCGAAAAAAGTCGAAAAGTCGAAAAAAGTCGATAAGTCGAAAAAAGTCGAAGAAAGTCGAAATAAGTCGAAAGGCGAAAAAAGTCAATAAGTTGAAAAAAGTCGAAAAGTCGAAAATTTTAAAAAAGTGGAAAAGAGGTCAAAAACTCTAAAATAGTCGGAAAAACTCGAAAAAAGTAAAAAAATAGTCGAAAAAAGTCGAAAAAAGTCGAAAATAGTCAAAAAGTCGTAAAAAGTCGTAAAAAATCAAAAAGTCGGAAAAAGTCGAAAAAAGTCGGAAAAAGTCGAAAAAAGTCGAAAAGTCGAAAAAAGTCGGAAAAAGTCGAAAAGTCGGAAAAAGTCGAAAAGTCGGAAAAAGTCGAAAAGTCGACCATTTATATAATACTAAAAGTCGAAAAGTCTAAAAGTCGACTTTTAAATAAATGAAAAAGGTCGAAAAATCGACTTTTCATAAAATGGAAAAAGTCGAAATGTCGAAAAATCGACTTTTAACTAAATGCAAAAAGTCGACTTTTCGTTTCAACTATAGAACCCTAATAACAACTTGCAAAATATCTAAAATGATCTGGCCCTGCTTGAACCCCAAATATCTTGTTCTTGATAAAAATTCACTAAGACTTCTTGTAGGCACTTCATCATTGGATACATGTTGTCGTCGGGAAAGTTAATGCAAAAGAAGACTGTCATTCTATACATTCTGTACACTTTGTATAACTGTTCCAAGTTATGAGTTGTTTACATTAACTGAATGCATTAATTTTACCAAGTGAGGTTATGTTTTGACCGGCGCAGACCATAAAATACTCAGACTATACCCTGGAGGAGACCATATAGTGTTCGACGGGACTTTTTGGGCTAACCTGGCGGTTTATTTAAGTTCCTCAGTCATTAATTTCAAATCCAAAAAACTTATTACTAGATAAAAATTGTCCAGTAAAACTAAATGATATTTGATAGAGATCTTTCAAGAAGGCAAATATCTCTATTGTAGGACTATTTTGTACAATATACCAACAGTCTCAATATCTAATTCCCGGGAAAAAATTTTGTTATATTCAAAGTTTTAGTTGAGATTCTCAGAGTATTACATCAATGTTTTTGATAACTTTTTGTCTCAAATCTCAAAGTTTATAATTTACATGTACAAAACTTCATCACATGACAATTGGATCTTTACACCTGGACAACCCAAATCACACTCGACCAAATATTGCCAACCTAGTACTTCGAACTTCTTATTTCTGAGATATTTCAAGAATGTAAGAAAAACGTGAAAATCGCTATTGTTAGTCGTTATTTTAGAAAAGAACATAATTATATAATATAATTGGACCCAGCCTAGATCCAATAAAACTAGAAAAATACCATTTAATAAATTAAAAAAAAACAACTTAATTTTATCATTTTTCTATAAAAAATGCATTAAAATTGCATTCTAATCTTACTTTAATTGAATATTTGTTACAACTGAATAATCTGTTGCTAATAATAAAACTATGTATTTTTGAAAGAATATATAAAAAACTAAATGAAATTAGTTAGTTTTAGCTTTTTTAGCTTTAAAAAACGCTGTTGCCATTTTCAAAGGGACGTTTTAAACCTTTCTTTTGGAAAGCCTTGGGTATTTTTGCTTTATAATGGACTTCTTACGTAGAGAATGGGGTTCAACAAAAATAACTTGATTGTTTATCATGCTCTCATTAAACAAAAATGATTTACAATAGGCATCGGAGTTTTCAAATCCAATAATAGCAAAACCGCCTTTAATAAAGATGTTTTTAATTTCGCCGGCTTTAGAGAACAATTTTTTTAAGTCTTCTTCAGTGCAACCTGGAAAGAAAACGAAATGAAATCCAAATGTTGAAGAGTAAAATTATAATCAATAAAAACCTACCTCTAGGCAAATTTGTAACATGAATGGTGGTTTTCTTACTGTAAGGATCATATAATTCCGTTTCCAATTCAATGCCTTGTTCAGTTTTGCCATTCAATTTGAGAGCCTTTTTAGCAGCTTGTTCAGTTTTGTAGCAAACGAAAGCCAAAACATTCTTTTTGCACACAACATCTAAGATATCAATTTCACCGCACTTGGAGAAGATAGACTTGATTTTAGCGCCGTCAATATTTTCAAAGTTTTGTTTGTTCTTAACCATTACGGTAAGATTTGCCTCATAAGTTTTACCCAGTTTAGATTCACTTTGTTTATTTACACCAATATTAACATCATTCAATACTGAGTTATGTAGTTCTAAGGCAGCATCGACGCTGGACTTATCGGCAAAAGTAACAAAAGCAAAAGTGGTATTAAATTTATTTACAACTTTGATATTTTCAATTTTGCCACAACCTTCAAAGTGCTTTTTCAAATCTTCTTCAGTAGTGCCGGTTTTCAGATAACGAACATAAACGCAGCGTTCGCGAGTTTCATTAAATTTAGATTCACGTTTGGGCTTGTGTGGGTTTATAATAATTAAAGAACCTTGCACTTTGACTTTTCTGTCAGCCAAGGCAGCCTTAGCAGCTTTCATGGTTTTAAAGGCAACATTAGCGACGGTGCCACTGGGAGTTGTAATCATATGTATTTGATCAATTGCTCCGTATTTGGCAAATACTTCTACGATGTCAATTTGTTTACATTCTGAAAAAAAGTTTAGTTTTTTATCATAAATGGAATTTTCTCATACAGGTTGGTGTTTCTGAACGTTTAATTTTTTAGTCTTTCCTAATAAATTTATATTTTCTTTTCTAAAAATAATAAATTATTGAAGATATTTACAATTTTTAAAGTTTGGGGAATAGTAAACTTTAAAGTAAAGATGTTATTCCTTTTAATCGAGGGAAAATATTTTTTATGGGAAATTTATTATCTATATGCAAAATTCTGCTGTATTTAGAGATAAGACTATTGGAAATTCTAAAAATACATATAGACATACATATGTATATACCAGTATGTATATATACATTATTTATCTTAGAAAGAATTAAGTTTTAATTTTTGGTGGGAACTTCAGCACCCTATTTTTACCAAGTCAAGTTGCATCATTCTAATTTATAGTAGAAAATTAAGTTTTAAAAAAATAATTAAATTTCTAGTATACTAAATATATCATCCCTTATGTATGTTTGTAAGTGCATAAAAACATAAACCATTTTATAAACTAAAATGGTTGGAAAGGAAATATACAATATTTTTGGGAGACTTACTTTTAGGTAATTTAACAACATGAACAATTTTGCTTGAGGGTACAGTTGAGGGGATTTCTCCGCTTTTTACTTTAGATGGTATTGTAGGTACTTCATTTGCGGCGTCTTCTTCTTCTTCATCTTCTTCTTCATCATCTTCTTCCTTCTCTTCATCGTTGTCATTTTCAGCTTCATCTTCTTCATCGTTATCATTTTCAGCGTCATCTTCGTCAGCTTCTAAGATTAAGAAATAAATATTAAAAACAGATAGAACATATTGATGAAATATGTTGTGTTCCTAGGTTAATACTAATAAATCAGTATTCGGTAAAACTAGCACATGTGCTCGCTAGCACGCTAAATCTTATCAAATGTATTAAGTATATTACCTTCTTCTTCCATGGCTTCCTCGTCTTGTTCATCATCCTCTTCTTGCTCCTCAACCTCCTCCTCGTCTTCCTCCTCCTCCTCGGGAGCTTCTTCTACTTCAACAACTTTTTGTACTTTAGCAGGCTTTTTAGGTGCCGCTTTTTTAGCTACAGCTTTCTTAGTTACAACTTCTTCCTCTTCCTGTTCATTTTCTTCAACTTCTTCCACTTTGGCGGCAGGAGCTGCCTTCTTGGTAGCTTTTGTTTGTTTTGCCACTTTGGGTGCTGCTTTAACTTGCTTTTGTTTCATTTTAATTAAAATATTTATTTATAATTTATTACAAAAAGATTGAAAATTATTGTAGAATGCGGTATTAAAAAATGTGTATGTATAACCAAACAACACGTGCACAATTGACAACCGCTTTCAGAGTTGCATATTTGTAGGAAATTTTTAAAGCGCTGCGTTTTTCTATAAGAAAAGTGTTGCCTATTTACGTATATAGAAATTAGCGATTTTAGAGAATTTGACAGTGGGGTATTTTTGTTGTGTACACTTAGAAAAAAATTGTATTACTTGCTTTTAAGTGTTTAAGTGTGTTAAAATATGTATATAAGGAATACCCATAGGTATAAAGATAAATTTTTTTTGTGAACAAAAAACTCTAACAAATTTCATAAGAATCTGTTATAATTGATCACATCAGATTCTTTTACTGCATTATTAAAAAATACGTTGAAATAAAATTTGACACAATTTTTTTTACAAGAATCAAAATCCGTAATCAAAAGCATTCAAAATAACAGCAGTTTAGTTATATGCTATAATATATCATTGATTTTAGTAATTATAAGGCCTCTAGAATATGATTTACATGTTATTCAAAAATATAATGATAATGTGCTACCCCCATTAAAAAGAAACCCGAAATGAGTTAAATACAGTTCACACGAAGCGATTATTCGTCATTCACTCACTCATTCATTCATCATTCAATCCCCAATTATAAACTGAATTATACCCTGTCCATATGATGTAATTATTCGTCATTCACGCTCTTATTCTTCTGTACAAATTCCGTTTAAATTACCTACGAATTACCAATGAATGGTTGTCATCTCTATGTTATAATCAGCGGTTTGTTTTCATTTGTACGAATGTGTCGTGTAAACGGGTTAATTGGCTATTGTAATTCATAGGCCGAATTAAGTATTATGTACACGATTCATCATACACAATTTTAGTTTCACTTTGTATTACCTTCGAATTACGAATGAATGAGTGTAATCTCTAATTTTTTCGGGTATTTATCACAATCAGCTGCACATTTTCATTTGTTGCCAAAAATGAAAAAAGTTTGTTTCTTCATAGAGATCAAATTTATTCGTATTCTATCATCACTAACAAATCAAAAAAGGAAAATCGCTATTTTTCAACAATTACCAGATCATTGACATAGGTAATGTTGCCAGAATTTTAAAAAAGGATGACGTTTTCGCTGTGTATACATAAAAAATTGGTAATCGTCTAAAAAAGTGACGTTAGTTTGTCATTTTTATAACAGAAGAGACGAATACGCAGTTTTCTTACTGGAAAGAAGAATTTAATTACTTGTTCAATTTTTTATACGAAAACTTCCACACAAAAAAAATCTAAGCAAATGAAAAATATATAAAAATGAAAACAACAAAATAAAAGTTAAATAATTACTAAAGAAGTTATAATAAAAAGAAATGATTTGTTTAAAATAAAATAGCAACGAAAGTTTTGGTAAACAAGTAATTAAATGAAAAAATATTGAGACGAAAAAAAAAAAACAAAAAACGGCAAGAAAAAATCAAAGAGTTACCGGCCCTTCTTAATAAAGCAAATAATTTTAAAGGAATTTTGTTTAATTTAAACAAAATTGTAACGTTCATTAAATTTATTGAGCAAACAGCTAAAATATCGGCAACATAATGAATAATTTAAGCACCAATAATGGAGGCGGTGGCGGTGGTGGCAATAGCAGCAGTAATAGTGCGAATAATGGTACGGGCATACGCCCTTCTTCGGCCAATGACGAGGCCGGTGGTGGTGGCGCTGCTGGTGGCGATACAGATGCCAGCTCGAGGCGACAGGCTACCCGGGTGTTTAAGAAAAGCTCCTCGAATGGCAAAATTACCGTCTATCTGGGGAAACGTGATTTCGTGGACCACAGCACTCATGTCGATCCCATCGATGGGGTGGTGTTTATAGATCCCGAGTATGTAAAGGATCGCAAAGTATTTGGCCAAGTGTTGGCCGCCTTTAGATATGGCCGTGAGGATTTAGATGTATTGGGTTTGACATTTCGGAAGGATTTATACTTGGCCCATGAACAAATCTATCCGCCAACGCAAACGGAAAGACCGTTGACAAGACTACAGGAAAGGCTGATAAAAAAGTTGGGTCCCAATGCATATCCATTTTACTTTGAAGTTCCTCCCTACTGTCCAGCATCAGTATCACTACAACCTGCCCCCGGCGATACTGGAAAATCTTGTGGCGTAGATTATGAATTAAAAGCATTTGTTGGTGAGTAATATAAAATTGATTAAATCATGCTATTTTTGTTTAATTTGTAATTTTTCTAAATGATCAAGGGCAATGTATTCTAAAACAAAATGTCATAAGATCAACCAAAGTTGGGGTTTTAAAATCGTTGTGAAAAAACACGTTAATTAATCAATCAACACCGTGTTTTTTTTATTGAATTTTATTTTCAATTCTGGCCTCAAACTAATATAGAAACTAGTGTTTATAAATGTGTCATCAGGCAGACAGCATCAAATTCATTCATTCATTTTATTTTTCCCCTTGTCATAAGTTTTATCTCAAGTTTTTTTTTTTTTATTTTGGGTTTTGCTTTTGTAACCACATAAAAAGTTTACAAATTTAACGCGCCCATAACATAATTTTTGTTATTTGTAGTTTATTTTTCTGTTCATTTCAAATATGCGCTTACTCATTACGATCAACATGTATCTGGGGTTTTAAGAATGTCGGTTTGTTTTCTGTAGTATGTATGTATGTATGTATGTATGTATGTATGTATGTATGTATGTATGTATGTATGTATGTATGTATGTATGTATGTATGTATGTATGTATGTATGTATGTATGTATGTATGTATGTATGTATGTCTGTATGTATGTATGTATGTATGTATGTATGTATGTATATGTATGTATGTATGTATGTATGTATGTATGTATGTATGTATGTATGTATGTATGTATGTATGTATGTATGTATGTATGTATGTATGTATGTATGTATGTATGTATGTATGTATGTATGTATGTATGTATGTATGTATGTATGTATGTATGTATGTATGTATGTATGTATGTATGTATGTATGTATGTATGTATGTATGTATGTATGTATGTATGTAGTATGTATGTATGTATGTAGTATGTATGTATGTATGTATGTATGTATGTATGTATGTATGTATGTATGTATGTATGTATGTATGTATGTATGTATGTATGTATGTATGTATGTATGTATGTATGTATGTATGTATGTATTGTATGTATGTATGTATGTATGTATGTATGTATGTATGTATGTATGTATGTGGTATGTGTGTCTGCTTTTTTAGGATTTCAGTTTGAGTGAGTTAAGGCAGCAAAATATCTTTTGATATTGGATGGGAGCAAAATAATTGCTAGGTTTTTATTGTTTGTTATAAGAAAAGTTCTAATGCATAATTGTAATTTCCTTTTGAAATTAGTTTGTTCAAAATATTACTGTTATATTTCATATATTATACATGAAAAACTGTCATACCCAAAATTCTGAAACTGAAATTTCTGCAAAATTTTATTAAGAAAAATGGTTTGTAAAGATACCTATTTCATAGAAGAAAACTGTGTTGTTGTTGTAGCAGCGACACGTGTAAAGTCGTTGTAGCTGGGTTGACAATCCTTGGTCGTTGTTCGTTGAACTTCGAGTCGTTTCGGTGCAAAGAACCGATTGTTGGGAACGAGCGGGGAAGAAAACTGTTATACAGTTTACTGAATATTTTTCTCTTTTGGAATTGTTACCTGCAAAAAGTTATTTATATTAAACTTTTATAAAAACTGTTGTACACAAAATTGTTGGACCGAAAATACTATTATCTATAGTCCATTATAGGACAGAGTCTATATTTCAGACTATAGTCCACAATATACTGTAATCCATAGTCCAGACTATAGATTATAGTCTATAGTACAGACTATTGGTTGTAGTCTAGATCACAGACTATAGTCTGGACTATTGACTATAGCATGTAACGGATTATAATCTGAAATATAGACCATACTCTGTAGTGAATTATAGACAATAGTTGGACTGTAGACTGGGCTATAGACTTTAATCTTTAATATAGATTACAGGCCAGACTATAGTCTATAGTCCACGACTATTGTCTGGTGTTTAATAATATGAAGAAGTTCTGTTTGTTCTCTTACTAATACTAGTTCCTTTTGATAAAATATTAGAGCAAAGAGCATGAAAATGTGTCAAAAAAGTATAATCATATAAACGTAAAAAGTGAAGTACAAAATCAATAATTTATGGAATTTAAAAATATAATGCTAAACTAATGTTAAAATAATATTTTCTCATTATGACTCACTACCTAATATCTACCACAGAAATCACAAAACTCCCATTATTATTATTATTTCCAAGAAATTTAAAATACAGTGATTTTTTTTTAAATGTAACATTTTTAACGAAAATACTTTTTCTCCTAGCCATTGCTTTATGTACAACTCATAAATAGTAGTGTATCCTAATATTTTGTTGCTCATTTTTCATTACTATAGTTCTATTATTGTTTTAAGACTTAATTGTTTTTACAATGAATTTTTATTATTATATTTGTTTAGAAATTTATGATTTTGTATTGTAACAATTAACAAAATAAAATCCTAAACAATGTACTCATTTATGGTTAACTCTATGCCAACATTGTTATTGTTGTTGCTGTTTATACCCTACACCACTTTAGTGGGGAGGGTATATTGGATTTGTGCTGATGTTTGTAACATACAAAAATATTCGTCCTAGACCCACCTTAAAGTATATCAATCGGCTTAGAATCGTTTTCTGAGTCGATTAAGCCATGTCCGTCCGTCCGTCTGGCTGGCTGGCTGTCCATGTAAACCTTGTGCGCAAGGTACAGGTCGCAATTTTCAAGATAATTGGATGAAATTTGGCACGCACGTTTTATTTGACCTAAGGACGAAGCCTATTGAAAATGGTTAAGATCGGTCCATTATTTCACCTAGCCCCTATAGAACAGAACCCCCCGAAAAGGGCTTCTGAGCTTATAATTATGTTAAATATACATATATATCGATAAAATACGGCACAACTAAGTTTTATAGAAGTCTTGATGACCCTGCCAAATTTCATAAAGATCGGGCCCCATTTGACCCTAGCTCCCATACAAAGTCCCCTTCAGAAAATTAATTGAATGTCCCAAATTAGCTTATAAACACAAATATCGCGATGAAATTCAGCACAATAAAATATTATGTCAATATAAATATATTCACAAAATTTTATCGGGCTTGGTCCATATTTGCCCCTAGCCCCCATATAAAGCCTCTTTCAGAAAATTAGTTTTTCATCCATAAATTGCTTAAATGTATCGGAACAAGGGAATATTGAAGATAAATGCTTTATTATGAAAAATAAATCACATTTAATATTCATAACTGGTGTAGGGTATCATATGGTCGGCCACGCCCGACTATAATTTCTTACTTGTTTTGTTTTACGTCTGAATCATAAATCATTTCGTAGTTAATATGCTCTAAAGTTGTTTCTTAACAACATTTTAACACGTTTCATTTCTTTTTAATTCACAGTTTTAAAATAATATTTATTGTTTTATATTTTTAAAATACGTCACTGACATGTTTTTGTTGTCTTTTTGTTAATTTCTCTCAGCAGCGGGGTTTTCTATGACAAATATTTTATTTATATTGTTTATTTTAAACGCTTTAATTCGTTTAAACAATCACGAGGTATATTTTCCATTGGATTTTTATTTAGAAAATAATACTTTAAAGTTGTGAATGAATCTAAACAATTTTCCAATTATGAAAAAAAAATTTTCTATTTTATTATTATTATATTTTTATAAGTTGAACTATATACCGCAAATTCTTATTTAAATGAGTATAAAATATATTTTTATTAGCATCTTATCTCGTATCAGACGTTGTTGTAGAAAAATTTATTGTTTAATTAGAACTAAGGGTTTTTTGTGTATTTAAAGCCTTAGAATTGTTTTCTATTTGCGTAAGAGAATGTTATTTGATGTATATAGCTTTCTAGGAATTTAATAAAATTAAAAATAATCTTTTTCAATATTTTTTTTTTTTTCATCCTCAACTTGGGAACTGATTCTGTGCAGTAAATATGACAGTTAAAATATGTACTTTATAGTATTTTTTCATTGTTTCTAAATTTTTATTGATTTCTCCCTATAAATTGTTTCTCCATTTTACACGTTCTAAAAATAGTGTTATTTTAAAATAAATTTTTAAACATTTTTAATATTAAGTTTATTTATTATGAAATTATTAACTATTGCAATACATATCAAATATTATACTTATTATAAGATTTTCTTAATAATTTTTGTGAAATTTCGTGATTGATTGATGAAATAATTTTTAAATTTTCTTTAATTGGAAAACGTGTTTCATAATAATTTCACTTTAATGTGCTACAATTTATTGCCCCAAACAACAACTATATAATGTTGCCTTATTAAATCTGTATGATGTTAATTCATTGACGTACAACATTTTCATTTAATGTTTTTAATTATTATAAAATTAAAAATCAGCTCGTTTGTGAAAAATAAATTATTGAAATTGTCTTTGTTTTTAAACCGGCTGCTAAATAATACTCATTGATTGATAGTTTTCCTAAAGACAAAAAAGAGCTTTTAGAGTTTTTGTTACATTTATAATATCCCTTTATTAGTTGTATTATTTTTTTTTATCATTTTTTATTAAAAATTACTGAACGTATTTCTTATCTAATAAATTAGAACATTTTTTTACTTGTTTCAATTTTGTTTATTTTAAATTATTTATCTATTTTAATTGATGATCTTTACTTTACTCAGTATGCTTATATACATACTAAATAAGTTGTTTTTTTTATATAAACATTTAATATTATTTATAACGTACTAGATATTTCATTTATTTTGTTTATTTAATGCAGTTATAAACTTTTCATTACACATTTGTTTACTAAATTGGATATATAGTAAATATTTATATAGTATGTACATAAGTATATACATATATCTATAGTATACAAACTTTATAAAGGGTGTTTCATTAAGACCGATTCAATTGTTTATTTTTGATATGTCTTGAATGGAATAGAAATTGGTTTTGTCATTCTTTCACTATTTGAAATGTTAATCTATATTATTTAATCATATAAACTTACAAGCTTCTTAAAAATTATTAAATTTTATTATCAAAGTCCTCGTTATGCCAATTTCAGTTTGCAAAACTTTAAAATTGCTGGTCTATGTCCACAATAATAACAAATTTTCGGTATTTCACCCAATTTGTGAGCTCTAGTCATAAAATTTAAGGATAATTTAAAGATTTTGTATAACAGAAATACTACCATTGAGTGTACTTTCATTTAAAACAAACATAATTTTCCTAACTTAAATGCAACGTTCTTAACGAAACCCCTTATATTATAAATTAATATAAAACTTGTTGCTTACTTACATTTTTTTTAGTTTCAAAATAAATGAGTGATAACATTTGCGAATAACAACAAAGTTTAAAAATAGTTTTAAACATGTGTTATATTAAGCCATAAAAGGATATTTTAATTAAAATTTCGTTTGAATATTTGAGATCTTATTTTTATAACAATTTTCCTAAAAAATTATTCTAAACATTTTTGATAAATCTTTAGGAATAACATCCTTGTGTTGCCACTCAATCTTGTATTTTAAATTTACAGTTGGAACACTTTATTTAATGTATAAAGTCATTGATATTTTAGGGTTTCGTTTGCTTAAAAAAAAGTAATTCTAAAACCTTATAATATACTTTGCATAACAGTAGTCTTTTATTGTGTTATAAATGGGTTTTATTATTTATTATCTTTTATTACTTTTTTTAATATTTTCCAAATTAAATATTGATTTTTTAAAATATTAATGTAAAAATACATACATATGTATGACTATTTGAATATTTATACATTTGTTTGCATTTATGTATACAAACGTATGTTGTTATTATTTTTTTTTGCTGTCGTAGTTAAAATTATTAGGTGGGTAAATATTATTGTTTTATTATTTTATTAAATATTTGTCAAACATTAACAGTTACTTTCACGTAACCTTGTTGATAACAATTTACACTTGCGTTATCTTGATCTTGTATTAAAGGGTTTAAAATTTTTTATTTGTAAACGGTTTTTAATTCAAAAAATAAATGTACATATATGTATTTCAATTAAGAATAATAGCATTAAAATGCAGTAAAAAATACAAGATAATATATAAGCAATTACTTTTCTTTTTCTTTGTATTCAACTTTTTAAAATTCATATTTTTTATATTTTCATATCATATTTATAAGTAATTTACAAAACTTTAATTTGATTACAAAAGTGTTTATTGTAACATAAACGATCAGGTGTTTAAATAGTTTTATTGTTCATTTATTTAGTTCATGGAATTGTAGTTTCTTAAATATTTATAAATTTAATCGAATAGGAGCAAAGTTCTATATTCAGTTTTGCGGTTTTATTTTTCTAGAACCATTAAATTAAGAACTTTCCCTGACATTAGTTTCATTTAATATAAAACTTTTATTATTTATAAAAACAAATCATATTCTTTCTTTAGAAATTTGAGCAAAATATAAAATCAGAAACCGATAATAAGTTGTCATCATGTTCTACTTTGGTTACCAGTTATTTATTATTCTTCATACCCAAACAACCACTTATTTTGAGTTATAAACAAAATACATATTTATAAAACAATTTTCTGTTTACATGGTATGGCATCATGACCTTTATTAGTTTTTTCTTTTAATGTTTGCAAAAAGAGACAAACATTTTCAATTATGATTGATTGTAATAACTGTGTAACTTGTCATTACTTTCCTTTATATGTATATAATTCTGTAAAATGTTAAAATATTATTATTATCAGTTGTAAGAATTGGCACAAATTTAAAATTAATTTAAAACCAATTTGTGTAACCTTCACCTTTGTAAGCAGAAGAAGTTTGTCAATTCGTTTGCGAAGATAGATAGATAGATAGATAGATAGATAGATAGATAGATAGATAGATAGATATAGATGGATGATGATAGATAGATAGATAGATGATAGATAGATAGATATAGATGATAGATAGATAGATAGATAGATAGATAGATAGATAGATAGATAGATAGATAGATCTCTCCTTCGCTCGCTCGCTCGCTCGCTCGCTCGCTCGCTCGCTCGATCGCTCGCTCGCTCCTCTCCTGCTGCCTCGCTCGCTCGCTCTCTCGCTTCGCTCGCTCGCTCGCTCGCTAGCTCGCTCGCTCGCTGCTCGCTGCTCGCTCGCTCGCTCGCTCCTCGCTCGTCGTGCTCGCGCTCGCTCTCTCGATCGATAGGGATAGATAGATAGATAGATAGATAGATAGATTGGACTCATTTTTTCTTTACATGATGGCATGCAGATCTTTATACGCATTAAACTTATTTGCCTGATCAGCGATTCAATGTATGTAATTCCAAAGATTAAAATACGCAGGCCAGGATTGAGTTGCTCTAAACTCAGATCAGGCCTCACATTTTTGTAATTTATTATGGAATCTGAAAGACCAATCTTCTATATCTTCTATATCTTCTTCCTCTTTCGACATATCTTCACCTAATTAAAACAAATTACTTATTTTATGGATTTAATCTATTTTTTATTAAACTGATACAAAACTTAACCACCTAATCTTGTTTATGAAACAGACTGTTAGCAATTGATTAGCAATTCAATTATTGCTAAAATTTATTACGATTTACCTCTAAGCACTCAACTGTTATTTCTACTATAACCAGGAATCCATTGCCATTTTCTCTTTTTTTAATTAAAAGTTCAATTGTCCCACAACTATTATTACTGTTTCGAAAATTACAATTAAGTTGCACCCTAGTTTTGTATATATCTTTTAATAATGTTAATGCCATTTGGTTAATTTTTTTTCTTTCATTTTTTCAATTTAAAATTATTTTTTTTTTTCGTTTTTGGTATGGATACACAGTATACATATTCATACAATTGTATTTATGTATGAATGTATGTACTCGTGCATATTCATGAGTACATTTTTCAGTATGTTTGTACAGAAAAAAAAGTACTGGTAGAAACATTTTTGTTTGTTTAATTTTTATAGACACTTGAGTTCATTTTTCCTCTAATTTATTTGTTTATTCGGTATATTTTTTGTAGCTCTGTTGCCGTATTATTGTTATTATCTCATTGGTATTTTATTTTACTTTTTTTGTATGTATTTCCAAAGAAAAATTTCTAAACTAAAAACAGGTGATGATAGAATGTTTGTTTAAATGTGTATTACTTTTTGTTGTTCTTTTTTGCAAATTATGGTTTGCAAAAATTTAAATAAAACGAAATTGACTTTGTTGCTTTTAAATTTTAATTAAAGTAAACAATTTCGTATTTTCATTTCTTTTTTTTTGGCGGTATGGCATTAAAATGATGATAATTTAATTGTATTTGAAGAAAAGTACTTAAGAATACTTTTATTTTGTCTGCAAACTTTTTAGATACAAATACAAATTGAAATACGTTAACAATTTAAGTTTAAATTATGAATGACACTTTGAGGAATTTAAGTTTACTTTATAGCTTACAAGTACTGCTAGTAATTCAATTAAATTGATTTTTAGATTCTTAGTGCCATTTTGAATGACCCTTTTTGTTGATTGGTTTTTTTTTTAATGGATGTTGTTCTTTGATGGTATTATTATGCATTGTTTAAAAAAAGAATTAAAAATTCAATTTTCAGCGGAAAATGTGATTCCGATTGCAATCAAAATTTTATAAAGATATATTTCTTAACTTGAATTTTTAACGATTTTAGTGAAGATGGAGTATCCCAACTATAAACGAACGAATACCAATTTTTATTACACTCAAATACATCAAACTAATCTCATTCTCTCATATTTTTCTAGGCGAACAAATCGACGACAAGCCCCATAAACGCAATTCCGTTCGTTTGACAATACGCAAAGTTATGTACGCTCCCTCAAAGGTGGGCGAACAACCCTCAATCGAAGTGAGTAAAGAATTTATGATGAAACCAAATAAAATCCATTTGGAAGCCAGTCTTGACAAAGAACTGTATCATCACGGCGAAAAGATATCGGTCAATGTTCATGTGGCCAATAATTCTAATCGAACGGTAAAGAAAATTAAAGTTTATGTCCGTCAGTTTGCCGACATTTGTCTATTTTCGACGGCCCAATATAAATCGGTGGTGGCCGAGACGGAATCCGAAGATGGTTGCCAAGTATTGCCAGGCTTTACTCTCTCAAAAGTTTTTGAGCTATGTCCGCTGCTGGCAAATAACAAGGACAAGTGGGGCTTAGCTTTGGATGGTCAATTAAAGCACGAGGATACAAATTTGGCCTCCAGTACTCTGATCACAAATCCAGCACAACGCGAAAGTCTAGGCATTATTGTACACTATAAAGTCAAAGTGAAATTGTTAATTAGTGGCCCCTTGTTGGGTGGTGACTTGGTGGCCGAATTGCCATTTACTCTTATGCATCCCAAGCCCGAAGAGGAGGAGAATCCTTTGTTAAGCGACAAATCACCACGACAAAGTATACGCGATAATCAGTTGGTGGTGGTGGCCAACGATGATGCCAATTCGAATTCCTCTACCGCTGTCGTCCAAGAGGTACCAACTACAAATCTCATACAGCTAGATGACGATGATGCCCAGGACGATGATATTATATTTGAAGATTTTGCCCGTCTACGATTAAAAGGTGCTGAAACAGAAGCTTAAATGTTTTTTTTCCAAGATGCCATTTTTTAGCTGAACAAAAACAAAAGAGAAAAATTTATAAAACTACAAAATTATCATCGATTGTTTGGATATTGTATTTAGCACAACATTGAATAATAGTTTTCATATTTATCATTTTTTATTTAATTATATACATATGTATGTGTACAATGTTTAAAGAAATTAAAGGTGTTTTTGTTTTAACATTTTTTTAAATTAAAATCCATTTGTAAGGGTCGGTTTTGAGTTTCTATTAAAGCAAGTAATTGAAATTGTAACGAAAGAAAAGTTAAATATTGAAAAAGGGCAAAAAATTCTAATGGATGTATATTTAGTTATTAAGTTAATTATGTTTATAATAATTATAACAACAAAATCACAAAACTAAAAACAAAAAACAATAATATTGATGATAAAAGATATTGAACAAATGTCTTGATGTTAACGAAATTGACGACGAAGATGACGATGTTGATAATGATGTTAAAGAAGATGAAGAAAAAAAAACTGAAGATTATTATGATTAATATATGATTATGATAATGACCATAGTAGTATGTATGTCTTTATCTGTGTATTTATGTTTATACTCTATATATATATTTAAATATTAAACAAAACAAAAAGAAAGGAATAACTAAAACAATATATATTGTATGTGTCTAGAATTTAAGTTGTAACTTATAATTTAACTTCTATCTCTAACTACTACTACTATACTCTTCTATTCTATTATATTCTTTTTTATTTGTTTTCTTCCTTTTGTTTGTTTTATAAACATATACATGTAATAATAATGTTATATTAAAAGAAATATTTAACGCTGAACCAGAGGATGAATTGCAATAAGTAAACTGTTTGTTAAATTATTAAATTATAATTTATATATTATAAACTGGTAAAGAATACTTTTTAATTTTAATATTTAAATGGCTTGAAGTTTAGTTTTATTATCCTTAAAGGTTTGTTTTTGAGATTTATTTTAATTTATTGCAATTCTTCTTTGTTTAGGCTGGTTTTTAAAACACAAAACTTTATTAAAATTTTTTTTATGCACATTTATAGTCGAACACACACACTTAAAAAACAATTATACAAATCACTTACACTATTTTGAAAAATACATTAATTCACGAATACACTTTTAATACAAAACTACATAAAACCAAAAAATTCAATATGTTTTATTTTTATGGAACACAATTTTAAGACATTTTGATAGATTTTTAAAAAGATGAGAATTTTTTTTATGATAATTTAAGGTTTCTTTTCATGTGTACACAATTTTCCGGAAGGTTCCGTAAGAAAGTTAATCAATTGAATATGTATAAAATTCTTGTGCAGTTCTAGTTTAGATCTAGTTCAGTTCTAGCACAGTTCTAGTTCAGTTCTAGTTCAGTTCTAGTTCAGTTCTAGTTCAGTTCTAGTTCAGTTCTAGTTCAGTTCTAGTTCAGTTCTAGTTCAGTTCTAGTTCAGTTCTAGTTCAGTTCTAGTTCAGTTCTAGTTCAGTTCTAGTTCAGTTCTAGTTCAGTTCTAGTTCAGTTCTAGTTCAGTTCTAGTTCAGTTCTAGTTCAGTTCTTGTTCAGTTCTAGTTCAGTTCTAGTTCAGTTCTAGTTCAGTTCTAGTTCAGTTCTAGTTCAGTTCTAGTTCAGTTCTAGTTCAGTTCTAGTTCAGTTCTAGTTCAGTTCTAGTTCAGTTCTAGTTCAGTTCTAGTTCAGTTCTAGTTCAGTTTAGTTCAGTTCTAGTTCAGTTCTAGTTCAGTTCTAGTTCAGTTCTAGTTCAGTTCTAGTTCAGTTCTAGTTCAGTTCTAGTTCAGTTCTAGTTCAGTTCTAGTTCAGTTCTAGTTCAGTTCTAGTTCAGTTCTAGTTCAGTTCTAGTTCAGTTCTAGTTCAGTTCTAGTTCAGTTCTAGTTCAGTTCTAGTTCAGTTCTAGTTCAGTTCTAGTTCAGTTCTAGTTCAGTTCTAGTTCAGTTCTAGTTTAGTTCTAGTTCAGTTCTAGTTCAGTTCTAGTTCAGTTCTAGTTCAGTTCTAGTTCAGTTCTAGTTCTAGTCAGTTCTAGTTCAGTTCTAGTTCAGTTCTAGTTCAGTTCTAGTTCAGTTCTAGTTCAGTTCTAGTTCAGTTCTAGTTCAGTTCTAGTTCAGTTCTAGTTCAGTTCTAGTTCAGTTCTAGTTCAGTTCTAGTTCAGTTCTAGTTCAGTTCTAGTTCAGTTCTAGTTCAGTTCTAGTTCAGTTCTAGTTCAGTTCTAGTTCAGTTCTAGTTCAGTTCTAGTTCAGTTCTAGTTCAGTTCTAGTTCAGTTCTAGTTCAGTTCTAGTTCAGTTCTAGTTCAGTTCTAGTTCAGTTCTAGTTCAGTTCTAGTTCAGTTCTAGTTCAGTTCTAGTTCAGTTCTAGTTCAGTTCTAGTTCAGTTCTAGTTCAGTTCTAGTTCAGTTCTAGTTCAGTTCTAGTTCAGTTCTAGTTCAGTTCTAGTTCAGTTCTAGTTCAGTTCTAGTTCAGTTCTAGTTCAGTTCTAGTTCAGTTCTAGTTCAGTTCTAGTTCAGTTCTAGTTCATAGTTCAGTTCTAGTTCAGTTCTAGTTCAGTTCTAGTTCAGTTCTAGTTCAGTTCTAGTTCAGTTCTAGTTCAGTTCTAGTTCAGTTCTAGTTCAGTTCTAGTAGTCTAGTCAGTTCTAGTTCAGTTCTAGTTCAATTCTGTTATAGTTCTGAAATTCAAATGTCTGAGAATCAAATTTAGGAAGACGAAGCTACAAAGATTTTAAAAACTTAAAATTTTTGTGAATTAAGATTTAAAGAAGAGACTTAATAACGTCGGAATTGAAAACATCTAGTTGAAATCGGGATGAACAGGGTAAATACGAAAGGATAATTTTGATTAATTATTCCATCAATATTGCATTTTCTTAAAATTATTATATATAATACTTACCAATGTTTATTACAATTAAAAAATTAAAATTAATTATTAATTCTCAGTCAGTTTTTACTTAAAAGCTTTAATAAACATATTTGTATTTATTACATAAACCACATATATTTGTACAATACAAACATCAATACTTTTTACATAACTTAAAAGAAATTCATTTAGTAAAATAATTATCACCAATAACAAAGCAATTGATTTTTTTTTGAATTTTCAATTGTTATACGTATTAATGATCATTTAACTTTTTGTACATTCAACTAATGAAATAAATCTCAAATTTTTTGTATTTACACTATAATTATATAATTACATTAAAAGAAAAACTCACCACAATTACACAAAATAAATACTACACTGTTTTTTATAACATACAAACACAAATACTTATGTTTTATTTCTATTATTAAAGAATTCGACTACTACTTCTTAGCGCAAGAAGACAAGCCAAAAATGGAAAGCAATTTTAATCTAAAATCAATAAGAATTAGAAAAAAACACTTAAAAATGCAAAACACTATAACTTAAACTTAACACCATTACTCCAACTATTCCTCACATTGGCACTCCCCTTAAAACGTAAGCACTTAAATGGGTTCAAAATTTGAAGTAAAACGAAAAATAAAAAAATCCTTAACCTTTATACGCTTTAAAACTATACCTAAACTATTACATGGAAATTTTGCAAAAATAAAAAAGTAAATAAATATTTATATCAATAAAAACATAAAAAAAATAATTTAGTAATGTAAGTAGTTTCCTTTTTCTTTGTTTAGAGCAACTAAATTGAAATTATTATTAAAATACATGTTAGTCTTATGAATATGATTATGATTATCATCATTGGAAATTATTTCGAAATTTATATTTAGCTTAATAAAAAAACAAAAGAAATCATTTTCTTCTTATTTTTTATAAATGTTTACATATTTAATTACTATCACATGCTATTCAACATTAAATTGACTCAATGTTATTTTCTTTTAATTTTTTTTTTAACATTTAATAAGATTTTTGAAATCGACCAAATATTTGCTAATTTTTGTAGTATGCTAATTCTAAAATGGTTTAGATATTTTTATTGTTTTACTTCTAAGAATTTATTGCTTTTTTATAGGCTTTTTAAGTGTTTTTATTTTTTTTATCAAAAAAAATTGTTAGTTATTGCAGAAACTATTTACAAAATATTATATTCTCTCTATTGACTGTTGAAATTTTTTGAGAAATGTTGAACAAGATTAAATTAAGAATTAAACGATATTTTATTTTTCATATTTTATAATACTTTTTGAAACTATTACATAAATATACTCACTTTATTAGATCTATTTCAATTATAGTTCAGTTCTAGTTCAGTTCTAGTTCAGTTCTAGTTCAGTTCTAGTTCAGTTCTAGTTCAGTTCTAGTTTAGTTCTAGTTCAGTTCTAGTTCAGTTCTAGTTCAGTTCTAGTTCAGTTCTAGTTCAGTTCTAGTTCAGTTCTAGTTCAGTTCTAGTTCAGTTTAGTTCTAGTTCTAGTTCTAGTTCAGTTCTAGTTCAGTTCTAGTTCAGTTCTAGTTCAGTTCTAGTTCAGTTCTAGTTTCTAGTTCAGTCTAGTTCAGTTCTAGTTCAGTTCTAGTTCAGTTCTAGTTCAGTTCTAGTTCAGTTCTAGTTCAGTTCTAGTTCAGTTCTAGTTCAGTTCTAGTTCAGTTCTAGTTCAGTTCTAGTTCAGTTCTAGTTCAGTTCTAGTTCAGTTCTAGTTCAGTTCTAGTTCAGTTCTAGTTAGTTCAGTTCTAGTTCAGTTCTAGTTCAGTTCTAGTTCAGTTCTAGTTTCAGTTCTAGTTCAGTTCTAGTTAGTTCTAGTTCAGTTCTAGTTCAGTTCTAGTTCAGTTCTAGTTCAGTTCTAGTTCAGTTCTAGTTCAGTTCTAGTTCAGTTCTAGTTCAGTTCTAGTTCAGTTCTAGTTCAGTTCTAGTTCAGTTCTAGTTCAGTTCTATTTCAGTTCTAGTTCAGTTCTAGTTCAGTTCTAGTTCAGTTCTAGTTCAGTTCTAGTTCAGTTCTAGTTCAGTTCTAGTTCAGTTCTAGTTCAGTTCTAGTTCAGTTCTAGTTCAGTTCTAGTTCAGTTCTAGTTCAGTTCTAGTTCAGTTCTAGTTCAGTTCTAGTTCAGTTCTAGTTCAGTTCTAGTTCAGTTCTAGTTCAGTTCTAGTTCAGTTCTAGTTCAGTTCTAGTTCAGTTCTAGTTCAGTTCTAGTTCAGTTCTAGTTCAGTTCTAGTTCAGTTCTAGTTCAGTTCTAGTTCAGTTCTAGTTCAGTTCTAGTTCAGTTCAGTCAGTTCTAGTTCAGTTCTAGTTCAGTGTCTAGTTCAGTTCTAGTTCAGTTTCTAGTTCAGTTTCTAGTTCAGTTCTAGTTCAGTTCTAGTCAGTTCTAGTTCAGTTCTAGTTCAGTTCTAGTTCAGTTCTAGTTCGTTTCTAGTTCAGTTCTAGTTCAGTTCTAGTTCAGTTCTAGTTCAGTTCTAGTTCAGTTCTAGTTCAGTTCTAGTTCAGTTTCTAGTTCAGTTCTAGTTCAGTTCTAGTTCAGTTCTAGTTCAGTTCTAGTTCAGTTCTAGTTCAGTTTCTAGTTCAGTTCAGTTCTAGTTCAGTTTAGTTCAGTTCTAGTTCAGTTCTAGTTCAGTTCTAGTTCAGTTCTAGTTCAGTTCTAGTTCAGTTCTAGTTCAGTTCTAGTTCAGTTCTAGTTCAGT